ATGCCCTCCTTAATGCCCACCACCCAGGGGCACCTGGGTGGCTCAGTCAGTTAAGTGTCTGACTTTGGCTCGGGTCATGACCCCAGGGTCCTGGGATCGAGCCCCACTTCGGGCTCCCTGCTCGGCAGGAAGCCTGCTTCTCCCTCTCCTACTCCCCCTGCTGTGTTCCCTCTCTGTGTCTCTCTCTGTCAAATAATAAATAAAATCTTAAAAAACAATGCCCATCACTCAGTTATCCCATCCCCCCACCTGCTTCCCCTCCAGCAACCCTGTTTGTTTCCTGGAGTTAAGAGTTTCTTATGGTTTATCTCCCTCTCTGATTTCATCTTATTTTATTTTTCCCTCCCTTCCCCTATGATCCTCTGTTTTGTTTTTTTGTGTGTGTTTTTTTTTTAAGATTTTATTTATTTCTTTGACAGAGAGAGAGAGATGACAAGTAGGCAGAGAGGCAGGCAGAGAGAGGGGGGAAGCAGTCTCCCCACTGATCAGAGAGGCCGATATGGGACTCGATCCCAGGACCCTGAAATCATGACCTGAGCCAAAGACAGAGGCTTAACCCACTGAGCCAACCGGCCACCCTGTCTCTGTTTTGTTTCTTAAACTCTACATGAGACTTCATATTCTCACTTTCCTCAAAACTGCTCTGGCTTTTTAGGAGACCTAGAAACAGTGACCCCATTGCCAAATAAGGCCTCAATTTAGGGGAGAGTTAACCTTGGTGAGTTGGCTTGAACAAAGGTCTACGGAGGGCCTGCCATGGAAGGGCCCTGTGTTGTGTTGGGTATTGAAGTTTATGGACAGTTCTGGCCTAGAAAAGAGGTAAAAGACACCTGTTTAGAGTGTTACGAGTGCCAGCTGCTCTACTAGGCCCTACACACATATTCCCACACTGAACCCTAGAAATGTAGTCATTATGGAGAAAAGGAGTGTCAGCTACTGGTTGGGACGTTGTAGCCCAGAAAGGTGAAGTAACTTGCCCAACACTCTGAAGTTACTACACATTTTTTTGTGCATCCATTTATCACATCAAAATTGTATGGAAATTCTACTGAGGGCCAGAAATTCGACACATGAGCTTATCAAGATGAATCAGCGATGGCCTTGCCCTCACGGTGTTTGTCATCTAGCGATGGAGACAACTAAGTAGACAATCACAACAGAGCTTTGCAAATACCGAGACCAGTAGGTGGATAGATGTGTAGGGGAGGTGGGTGTTGTGCGGACGTATGATAAGCCAGTCTTGGGATCCAACCAGGCCAGCCCAACCCCAAATCCTGTACTCCCTCAGTGCAGAGAGAGACAGAGACAGAGGCTTCTGCTTTTCCATCTTGTTCCACGCCCTATTTGTGACCCTCTGGGGTCTGATGTCTGTATCTTCTCATCCCCTTTGTCTGTGGGAGGCAAGAGGGAGAGCATCACTCATGGAAAATATCTCAGTGTTAGGTAGTTAGCCAGAACTTGATGATCTAGATGGCTTTCCTCATCGCCACCTGTCACCCTGTCCCTACAACCTGTTCTTCATCCCGAAATCTCTGCTTTCCTAACACCTCAGTCCACGAAGCGTGGGAAATTAGAAAGGGCCACGTTCTCTCAGCTGCTCCCCACTCACTCTCCACCTCCCACATCAACTGATAGAGTTCCACTTTCAAATCCCACCCCTTGGGGTGCCTGGGTGGCTCAGTGGGTTAAAGCCTCTGCCTTTGACTCAGGTCATGATCTCAGGGTCCTGGGATCGAGCCCTGTATCAGGCTGTCTGCTCAGGGGGGAGTCTGCACCCCCTCCACCTGCCTCTCTGCCTACTTGTAATCTCTGTCAAATAAATAAAATCTTAAAAAAAAAAAAATCCCACCTCTTGCTTGTCTCTTCTCATGGCTTCTGTGCCAAGGCCTGATGTTTGACCTCCTCCTCCCCATCTGGGCAGTTAGAACCAAGACCTGAGGGATGGCCCAGCATCCCCTTTCACCCAGCACAACCCCAGCCCCACACTGCCACCAGTCCCACTTTCTGAAGAAGCAGTTTAGGTCATGCCATTTTCAAGCTTCAATGCCTCTGCTGACTTTACACTGCACTTAGAATAGAATCCAGTTTTCTTGGCATGGCGCATCAGGTTCCTCATCGTCAAACCTCATCTCGTCTGTCCACCACCTGCCCCAGCCGCACAGAATCTCTCCCTAGAGCTGAAATGCTCTGCTCAGGACTTGAGCTGATTCCAGGTGCTTCACCCTCTGAGCCTGGGGTGAGACCATTCCCTACTTCTCAATCCAGGAAACTCCTAATCATCCCACAAAACCTAGTTCAAATAGCACCTCCTCTGTAGATGCATTTCTTTACTTCTCCAGAAGGTCTAGTTATGCCCTCCTCTGTGGTCCTCCAGCCCCGCATTTATGCCTTTATCTTAGCGCTTGTTATAATATATTGGAATCCTCCCTAGATACATTGTGTGTCTTCTGACTGGATGCTAGCTCTTCAGGGCCAAGGACTGTGTTTAATTTGTTCTCCCCAACATCTAACCACAGGTTCTATTACATACAAAGTGCCAATGAATGTTTCTGCTGTGTTACAGGATTTCCCATCAGTCCTTTTGTCTGTGTTTATTGCCAGAGGGCTTTGGTGCCCTGATATTCTCTCTTCAGTTAGGAAACAGGAAACAAAGATCCCCAGCAGAGAGGGAACCCTGGGGCTCTCTCCTTTATCCTTGGTCATAATTGTCCAACTTCAAAATAAATCCTGTAACACACCTAGTCACCAGGCTTATCATACTATCAAAGGGTGTTTGATGTTTTCAACTGAAGCAGGGGGAAAAAAAAAAAAGGAGTACTTGCAGAAGTAGCTCCCATGCACCATTTGAGTGGTGGACAAGCGGCCCCAGCCCGAGAGAGGGAACCAAGGGAAGGAAGTCTCAGGTTGCCTGTTTCTGAATGGCACCAGCTATTACTCAGGACCCAGAAGGTTCCTATGGCACAGAGGGTTGAGATGCATTTCAGTGGGATGATGTTCTGGAGGAAAACCCAGTTATACCAAGAGTGCCATTTATGGCTTAGAAACTATGCATTTTTAGATTTTATTTATTTGCTTGTTTATTATTTAAGTAATATCTACAAGCAATATGTGGCTCAACTCATGACCCCGAGATGAAGAGTTGCATGCCTTTTCCCCTGAGCCAGCCAGACATGCGGCCCACCACCAAGTATATTTAGATTTTCTTTTTGAGATTCTATTTATTTATTTGACAGAGAGAGAGACAGCAAGAGAGGGAACACAAGCAGGGGGAGTGGGAGAGGGAAAAGCAGGCTCCCCGCTGAGCAGGGAGCCCGATGTGGGGCTAGATCCCAGGACCCTGGGATCATGACCTGAGCCAAAGGCAGAAGCTTAACGACTGAGCCACCCAGGCGCCACTATTTTTAGACTTTATTTATTTGACAGACAGAGATCACAAGTAGGCAGAGAGGCAGGCAGAGAGAGAATGGAGGAAGCAGTCTCCCTGCTGAGCAGAGAGCCCGATCCCAGGATCCCAGGATCATTACCTGAGCTGAAGGCAGAGGCTTTAACCCACTGAGCCACCCAGGCACCGCTATTTTTAGATTTTTTTTTTTTAAAGATTTTATTTATTTATTTGAGAGAGAGACAGTGAGAGAGAGCATGAGCGAGGAGAAGGTCAGAGGGAGAAGCAGACTCCCAATGGAGCTGGGAGCCTGATGTGGGACTCGATCCCGGGACCCCGGAATCATGACCTGAACCGAAGGCCGTCGTCCAACCAACTGAGCCACCCAGGCGTCCCTATTTTTAGATTTTAAACAGCAGCTCACACCTGAGATACAGGTTGAGTCTATGCTGAGAACAATGAAACCAACAAGTGAGGGGGGAAAACATATTTTGACCGAGATCTAGATTGTTCTGCTAAAATACTTTGGCAGTGATAAGCATGGGTCTAAATGATTTGACTTCTCTAACAGTCTGGCTGAAAATCAAGGAGACAAAATGGGACGAAGCAGATGTTTTAAAAAATTCAAATTAGGAAAATGGAAAATGAATGAAATCCCACCTGGAATCAGCTCAAGTCCATTTAACATGATGCGATACAAATACATTACACATAAAATGCATCTGACGCTTCGTATTGAATTGTGTGAATCTGCATAAGATGGGCTTTCTGCGGTTGTCCCCACCATCAAGAAAGGGGGGGGAATTGTTATAAACCTCATTATTTTCCTAATTAAATAACCCTGGCTTCAAACAGTTCAATTTGCAGTTTAGGAAGGATTATTTGCCCATTGACACTGAATTGGAACAGGTGCTATTATGTTCCCAGCTTTTAAGCTGTTGGGATTTTTACATCTGGATGCCAGAGCTAATCAGAAGGCATTTTCTCTCTTTTCTATCTGTCTTCACGATCTGAAGCTGAGTTTAAAGCTTCCCGGGATATTTTGTAACTCATTAGTTTTTGGCATCCTCTACAGCCATTTTGGCCAGTATGATTCATTCATTCTTTGAGCACGATTAGCTGTGAAAACAGATCTTAGAACAGACTCCCTCCACCCGAGAAGGATTACTGAAGGTAGGAAATGCAGGTGATTAGCAGAGTTCGCCTTTGATACAGACATCCTGCTCTTCTGCTAACCCTTTGAACTAACTTTGATATGCAATAATTAAGAGGGATTCAACCCCTGGAGGAGAAGCCGTTGTGGCCCTGCCCCTTCTCTCTCTCTCTTGAATCCTTGTTTTGAACTATTGATCAAACAGATTTAAAGGGATTTGTTGAAGCCTGTGTGGGGTAAGGAGGAAGGAAATGAAGGGGGGTGGGGGAGAGAGATGAGGAGGCACATCTGGTATAAATAGTTCCAGAAGGAACCTGCTCATTTGGAGTTCACACACCTTACACAGACGAAGATTTGCTTCCCCTTCGAGAAAAGCAGTTCCAGACGATCTTGCGGGGTTTCTGTTTTGCTCTCTTGTGGGGTTGGAGCAGCCCAGTTTGAAGGGCGCGGAGAGGCGATTAGAGGATGGCGGTGGTGGTCTTGCTGGGGCTCAGCTGGTTGTGCGCCCCCCTGGGAGCTCTGGTTCTGGATTTCAACAACATCAAGAACTCTGCTGATGTGCACGGGGCTCGGAAGGTAAAGCACCCGTAAGGCAGCAGGGGGCAATTCACGGGGGTAAGGCTCACGGAGGGGCAGTTGGCAAAGGGATGGGACTCCCTAGAGGAAAAACATCAAATGGGAATGGCACAAACACCAACATTACAGGTACTCAACCTGTAGCTCAGCTTCTCAAGGATGTAGACCAACAATCTCACCATCTCTGAAACACACATCAGAAGGCATTTTTCTTCCATTGTCAAAAGGGCACAAGACAATGAAATCCTGAGTTTTAAAAGTAGGACGATTTTTTCGAATGCAACCTTTGCAGCACATAGGTTTCTTCATCGGAGATTTGATTTCCCCTTTGTGGGAGAAAACCAATTATATTGAAAAATTTTGGCGCCCCCAAAGGCCTTTCACCACATGCGAGGCGCCACTATGATGCGGCTTCCTCCACCTCCCACTTTGAATTCAAAGTCCTCTTCCACCTTGTTGGGTTCCCCAGCCCTGTGACAAGTTCTTCCTTACAGGGTTCACAGTGCCTGTCTGACAAGGACTGCAGTTCTAGAAAATTCTGCCTCAAACCTCAAGATGAGAAGCCATTCTGTGCTACTTGTCGTGGGTTACGAAGGAGGTGCCACCGTCACGCCGTGTGCTGCCCTGGGACGCTCTGCGTGAACGGTAAGCTATTGTAAACCCCTGCAGGATGGTGTCGCCCCAAGGAACAGTGGTTTTCGATTGAAGATAGCAGATGAGTCTCGTAGGCTAGAATATTCCAAGATGGGCACTCTCCGAAGGTCTCCTGGATTCATGCTTGAAGTCATTCATGCAGCTGCCTTTTCTTAATGCAATAAAATTTATTTCCTGGAGATAATTTTTGTCAACAACTTAGAGATAATGATTTTAAAGGAAGGGGCTCAAGAGGGGATCTTTCAAATTCTTTTGTTTTCACTTGGATTCCACTACTTAACTGCTTTCTTTGCCGTATGTGCACGTAAATATTTAGTGCATGTGTCCCAGAAATCGTGCAAGCTATATATAAACGGAAGGCAGAGGTACTGCCAAACTATGTAACAGTGTAATAATCAGCGTGTCTGTGGTCCTAATCCTTGAAGTTAATAACTCCAACCACACCTGGTTGTCCCTCAGATGTTTGCACGACAATGGAGGATGCAGCCCCAATACTGGAGAGGCAGATCGATGTGCAAGATGATGCGGACACGAAAGCAACGACTGAGCATCCAATTCAGGAAAACAAACCCCAAAGGAAGCCAAATATTAAGAAACCACAAGGCAGTAAGGGTAAGAGAAGCATTCTAGCACTTTTTTCTTTTTCTTTCTTTTTTTTTTTTCTTTAAGAGAAAAACATTTCCTGGGGCACTTGGGTGGCTCAGTCCATTAAGCATCTGCCTTCAGTCCATGGATCCTGGGATCAGAGCCACTGCTCAGCAGGAAGCCTGCTTCTCCTTCTCCCTTTGCCCCTCCTCTTGTTTGTGCTTGTGCTCTCTTAATAATAATAATTAATAATTAATAATAATTATAATAAATAAATAAATAAATAAATAAAATTCTTTTAAAAAAAAAGAAAAGAAAAACATTTTTCCCCCTCGGCTTTCAAGGATAGGCTGAACCTGACTTGATTCCTCCCCACTCCAGAGACACAGAGGGATCATGTCCTTCTAATCTCTCTCCATCCACGGCTTGGAAGATCATGTAGGGAGTAGCATAAGGCAGTCAGCCACTGAAGAGGCCAGGGGACTAGCCATGATCATGAACTGGTTGGCAGGAAAATCTTTAAGTGAATTTTGAACACATATGTTTTTATAGTCTGTAATTTAATAAATGGAGGTTTCCCTAAGTCCTGAGGATAAAAAATAAAAGAGAAATGAAAGTTGATGAATCAACTTTTTATTCTTAAAATACAAACTTCACTAAGATGAAGCTAATTCCTATCTTGGACATAAAATAACTGGAATATTTGAAGGCAGTGGATTGGCCAGTCTGTGTCTCCAAGGCTAAGCAGCCCCTTTATGAGTCATGGGCTGTGTCCATATAAATCCCATTTAATAAAACACTGATGGGGGTATTGATTTCATTCCTCAATACTGGAAATCTCATCTTTTTTTTTTTTTTAAAGATTTTATTTATTTATTTGACAGAGAGAGATCACAAGTAGAGAGGCAGGCAGAGAGAGAGGGGGAAGCAGGCTCCCTGCTGAGCAGAGAGAGCCCGATCCGGGGGCTCGATCCCAGGACCCTGAGACCATGACCTGACCCGAAGGCAGAGGCTTTAACCCACTGAGCCACCCAGGTGCCCCTGGAAATCTCATCTTTCTCTGAAAATGTTTGAACTTTATAAAACAAATTCTATTAGGTAGGGCTAAAATTCCCATGTCCTCTATTTTTGGCGTAAGAGCTAGCCCTGGGAGATCTGCGTCCTGCTTTTTTTTTTTTTTACTTTGTGGCTCTAGATCCTATACCTTCATCCCAGCTACAAGCCCCCCACATTCCACTTTGCCCCATTTATTGTGACAGCCCACACGAATCTTATTACAGGACAAGAGGGAGAAAGATGTCTTCGAACTTTTGACTGCGGAGCTGGACTTTGCTGTGCTCGTCATTTCTGGACTAAAATTTGCAAGCCAGTCCTCCTGGAGGGACAGGTGTGCTCTAGGAGAGGTCAGAAAGATACGGCTCAAGCTCCAGAAATCTTCCAGCGCTGTGAGTGTGGCCCTGGACTATTATGTCGAAATCAAGTGACTGGCAACCGACAGCATGCAAGGTTAAGAGTATGCCAAAAAATCTAAAAAGCTGTAAAGATTTCAAAATAAAGACAACTCCTTATTGTATTCAAACAAATCTCAGACATTAATTTAAAAATCTTTCGATAATATCTCTGTAAATCAAGTCTTGTGGCAACTGGGATAGACTGACCTAGAGCGCTGTGAGGTCTATTTCTGCAAAGTAATGTGACTCCTCAGAAAAGCTTAATTTGATCTACTGACTCAATTAGTTCAAATAAATCTTTACATAATTTCTGGTGAAATTCTGGTACGTGACAGTAGCTTGGGGGGAAAAAAGTGATGGTCTGTAGCTAGTTCTTATCTTACCAGTGAAAATTATCACAGTAAATTAAGGGAAAAAATTTTTCCTTAAAATCCCTCATTTATTTTCTTTCATTTCCCTCTTGTAAGGGAAATGCCCCTTCACTACAAAATAATTTGGTTAATAAAGAAATAAAATTCAAAAAGTAGTATTTTATGTGTATTATAGTCCTTTGCAAGTTATAAAGCATTTCCACGTATTTTGTTTTCAACAGCTTTAATCATTTGATAACTTTTTACATTTTATATAACTTTTAATTATATAAATTAATATCATTTATATTATATACATATGCTTTATATTTTAAATTACATATACTTATATAATTATGTGTAATTTATATATTATTAAATTATATTAATCTAGTTATATTAATTACACGGATTATATAATTTCAAAGCTAGGGTCTTCAAGGAGTGTTTTTACTTTCAATAGCTTTACTTAACCATTTTATAACTTTTTTTTTTTAAGATTTTTATATATTCATTTGAAAGGGAGGGAGACAGAGCACAGGCATGGTGAGAGGCAGTGGCAGAAGGAGAATGAGACTTCCTGCTGAGCTGGGAGCCTGCCCTGGGGCTGGATCCAGGACCTGGATATCTCACCTGAGCCGAAGGCAGATGCTTAATCATCTGAGCCATCCAAGCCCCCCATTTGATAACTTTTTCTTTTACATTTATACTTTTATTTTACATTTATACTTATACTTAATATAAGTATACAAATTTACATATAAAACCAATGATATAGAATATATAATGTATATAATTAACATAATCTATTTTATATAATTTCAAAGCTCGGGCTTTCAAGGAACATTTTTATTTATATGCTTGACCATTTGAACTTAAAAATTACCTTGGAGGAAAACTAGGGCAAATAAGTGAAAATTCTGTTTGAAGTTGAAGAGGCCATATTTTGTACATATGGGTGCATATTATAAGTGCTTTTGCTTAGGGAAGCGTTTTCTCATGAATTACAACCACTTTCAGATTTCATTTAAGAGATAAACCACACACCTAGTCTTAGGTTTTAAGTATATATGACAAAATTGAATATGGGGTCCAAGACAACCCAAGAAAAAAATTAAATTTATGAAGGTCACTAATTTCTAAAGAATACTGAATCATCGTTCAGTTCATGCCCAGTCACTGACTAATGTGTAATAAATGGGAGGAAAAGTAGTAGGGTAATATGGTTTATAGCAGAAGGGCAGAAAATGAGAAAATAAAAATTCCCATTGAACATTGCTAACATCTCAGCTTTTCTCTCCACTAAATCCTTAGTAAAGTGTGATCATGAACATATATGATGTGTTATTTGCTAATAAAATAAAACTTATTTGCTAATAAAATAAGAAGAACATCTGATAATATTATGAGAGGCTTTATTGACTACAATGCAAGCTAAGGTATGAAGAAGAAACAATCATTTAAAAACACCGAAGACCCTTACATAGCAAAGGTTAAGAAATAAATTAAGACTCCTGCTGAGCTGAGCTGCCTGAGAAGGACGGGCCTCATTCACTCCGATCCTTGGGTTCTCGGTATTTCCACTGGATGTAGTCAAAGATGTCTTTCTCGCTATCCACTGGCAGAGGCTCTCCAGCGACTCCTGCCAAGTACAGTGAGAAAAGAAATTTACAAACTGGTTTTGGAATTTAGTTATGAGGGTTTAGCGACAACAGTTGTATGGGACTCACTTTCAGAAGGAAAAGAAAATGGTAACTAAAACCACTAAACTAAACTAACTAAAGCCACTAAAACATGATATTGACCTCCCTCTCCCCTATCCTCGAACATGAGCTTGTGTTCAAGCTTTGTCACATATATTACCAGTACTACGAAAGGAACCTGAATATCCCAACGGGCCACTGAAGTGATCCTAATCCACAATTTCCCTCTCTGCTGGATCTCCACCATAGCCACCGCGGATCACAGGAAATACTCTAGTTAGTTTCCTCTGCAACTCAAAATGTGGCCCCTAGACTAGCAGTATGGACATCACCTGGAAACTTCCTAGAAATGCAGAATCTCGGGCCCCCCTCCAATTAGCTTCTGCATTTAATGAGGTCCCCATGTGGCGCACACACATATTTACATGTGAGAACCACTGCCCTCATCTACCCAGGAAGAAAGCCCTATTTTATACTTTCAGGACAAAATGACAAAATCTTTATTTTCCTAGTAGAGAATAATAAACAAACAGTACACTGTGAAATGTTAAAAAGCATAGATTAAGCAATTCTTACTCTTTAAGCTTTTTGTATTTTTAAAAAAAATTTTAAGTAAACTCTGTCATAAGCTTGAACTCATGACCCGGAGATCAAGAGTCACATGCTTACTACTGACTGAGACAGCCAGGTGCCCTAACTCCTAAACTGCGGAAGGCATGCGGCTGAAGCTACCAGGTTTGTCCTGGCACTAAAAGCAATGATACCTAGGTTCTTCAGAAGTCTTGGAGATACATGAAAAACAAAACAAACAAAAAAAACCACTTTAGACTAATAAGATTTTTTTTACTGGCCATCATTAATTCAGTCTAATAGAGCTAGAAAGAACTCTTGCCATCAAAGCTTCTAATTGAGGGCCTGAGAGGATGTATGGATTTAAAGACCCTTTTGTTGCCTGAGGGACTCACAATACAAAGAAACTACAATTAACTGGCAGAATTACTTAAAGGCTTTTGAGAGAAACCAAAGCTGCTAAACCAAAGTAGCCTTGAAAATAACTTTCTCTCAAGATGACCAGGATTATCTCTAATGCAGACACAAATACCCACCAGTGACTCCCAAGGGACGGATTGTGTACTCATTGATTGTGAAGCCCTTTTCTAGGGCATGAGCTCTCATATTCTTATTGAAAATATCACTCCCGGTGAAATAGAGAACACCGCAGTAATACTGATCCTTGGGTATCAACCTAAAATAAATAGATAAACAAATAAATCTCTCACCACACATTTCGAAATTTGGCAAAAATAGGACTCTTATAATCAATAAGGCACAAAATACCTACAATAAGTCTATGTGGTCTAATAACCTCGGGAGGAGACTATCATCAAGTAGACTGTTGAAATTACTCCAAGCTTGCAGTTAGTCTAGCTTTCAGTAAACTATGTCCTGCAAGACGTGTGGGGAAAAGAAAAGCAGGAGCACATATTACAGCTAACTTTCCTGCAGTTAACTACTTTTGAGCTGTGGAAGGCATCACGATGAGATGCAAATCTAGAGAAAATAGATGATATTCTGTAGACAGTCATTATTCTTTGCATATTTTCAGGCTAAGCATTGTCTATACCACGAACACACAGCATTTCAGAATGAAAGGGAATTCTAGACATTTAGGTGAACTCCAAGATACACAGAGGACAAGGAAAAAGGGAAAAATTAATAGGTCAGCAATAAATTTCTAGTAATACCTTATATCAATTCTCCTGTGTGGATACTCCTTTTCATCATTTTTACTGGGAAGCTGGCAAACACCCTAAAATGGATATTTCAAAGAATGCTTAAAAAGACGTTTTTAAACTTCAGGCTTAACTTTAACCGAATGTCATTAAATGTGAGGTTTTTGCTTTGAATGCAAGCAGTTTTAGACTTCTGGGAACTTTTAACTTAGTGGCTTTTCTATGCAGTATGTCTTGTCGCCACCTTCCTCTTGTACTTTGTGGTAATTAAAGAACTACAGGAAACAGCAGGCAAGGATTCTAGGTATGAGGGTTTGGCCTTGTGTGATTCCAAACAAGAGCTAATCAGGGAAAGCATCACACATGAAAGACGCAGACCAAAACAAACAGAAAAGCAATCTGGAAGAAACAATTATGATGGAGGGAGGACAATCAGCTATTGGTAATATTCTAAGATAACAGAAAATATCCCATACATGAAGGGCAGAATACTACAAAAAAAGAACACTTAAGAAAAAGGTTTAAATCAAAATTAAAAGTAGGATAGCGGAAGTAGAAGAGTTTAAAATTGAGGAAATCTCCCAGAAACGGAAAAGACAGATGAAAAATAGGAAAACTGTAAAAGAAAAGAAAATTACAGGATCATTTTCTTTCTTCTTTACAGGTGAGTTTTCATTATAGTTCTACAGTTTTCAAACAAACGTTATCAAGGTCTATTTAGTAATCTTGTTCCTTTTACAGAAAAATGGGCCAAAATTCTGGACTGGGGAGCAACCCATAAATACATAAAAAGAGCCATAAGTATCAAAAACTTCCAATTAAAAAAGTTTCAAATGCCACACTCAAAGAAAAGCACACATGTGACAGGCTTCTGGTCCTAAAGAACAGTCAACTTAGTACACAGATCACTAAACGCTATACTTTTTCACTTAGTAACAGAGAAAAATTAAAACCTAGAATCTAAAATGGGTATTTTCTTTAGCTGTTGCTATGTCTGAAAGATTGAATGAAACCTGTTTATCTTCAAAATACGAAACCTACCTTCTTAGGCATCAACAAGTTCCAACTCAGCCTTCAAATGGATCAGAAATGCTTTCCATCTGGAATTACCATGAGGGATTACCTTGCGGATATGGATGTGATCTCCCCGTTTGTCACATCAGTAATAGGATTTTGTCTAATGGCTTTGTTCCTTTCCTAAAGGCTCATTTTATTTCCTGCACTTTTTCTGAAGTGTTAATGTTAAGGAATTCCTCTGTATTATTGTAAATTCTTTATTAGATTGAGTGGATTAGTGTTGTTTGGCATTTCAATTGAGTAGCTTCATGCGGAGCGTCT